TTATACCACTGGCATGCCTTATTTTACATAGTTATATGTACATACATTTTATCTGACAAAATGATTTATTTTATATATAAAATCACTCTACAACTCCAAATATTATATATCAACTTAAAATGAGATTTCATAAAGTCACAAAATTACTCACCGTCCTTGGTACAATTGAGTTGGGTTTCATCGCTAAAGTCTTCACAGTCATTGTCACCATCACAGGCCCAGTGGCCTGGGATACACCTGCCACTGGAGCATCTGAACTGATTCTCAAAGCAAGAGAGAGTACAGCCAACCTCATCACTTCCATCCCCACAGTCATCATCTGGAAAAAATCATTAAGTTAGTGAAAACTGATTCTAACAGAAACATGTTTTTATGATTTATCTAATTTTTTTATTATCCACAGCTCTTCAAAATTTACAGACAATAAAGTTAACAATTTCTGCATATACAAATACACTGATATTATAGTGGTGAATAATATATGCTATAATCAGTGAAATAACATCATTTTTACTCTTTTTTTTTTAGTATGCACAGTTTTACTTTTGAAAAATAAATGATGAATAAATGGATTTAATGTCCCATGAACAATGAAAGGACTATTTTCATCTTTACATAACTTGCTTTCTAACAAAGTATCAGCTATTAAATTCTTCGATATTGATTAAACTTAAATAAAAAGAAAACAAAAATCCTCACAACTAGACCAATAAGCAACATCATGATAAATGGAGAAAAGTCTGACATTGTCAGAGACTCCATTTTACTTGGATCTAAAATCAATACTTATGGAAGCAGCAGTCAAGAAATCAGACATTGTATTACACTGGACAAATCTCTGCAAGAAAGTTTTTAAAGTGTTAAAGAGCAAAGATCTTACTTTGAAGACTAAGGTGCGCCAAACCCAAGCCATGCATTTTTAATTGCCTTGTGTGCATGTGAAAGCTGGACAATGAGTAAGGAAGACTGAAGAAGAATTGATGTCTTTGAATTGTGGTGTTGACAAAGAACGCTGAAATACCATAGGCTACCAGAAGAACAA